AACCTGGTACTTGGGGCTCTGATTCCCGTGCCCCCTGGGGTGTTCCTCTGCAGAGTCAGCTCAGCCTACAGGAGGGTGTTTGTAGGTCTTTCTGACCCCTGCACTCTCCCTGACCTTAGCCTGGTTTTACAATGAGATGGGTTCTCTGTACACCTCTCTCGTGAGCGACAATGTCCAGAACCTGATGTGTTTTACAGAAGCACAGTACACAGGCCGAAGCCATCATGCCCGGCTGATACAGAGTCAGTTAACTGGACACTTACAAGGATTTAATCTGGTGCCTCAGAACTGGTACTAATTTGTCTTGGAAAAAGTACAGTCAGAGTCCTCTTTAAATGCACGGCTGAGGAGCCTTGTCTCCATTTGTCTTGAAAGAAGGGCAACCAGAGTTCTTATACGCAGGTTCAGGGTCCTTGTCTTGCGTACTTTGGGCATGTTACCAGGAGGGACCAGTTTCTAAAGACACTATGCTTGGTGAAGTAAGGGTCTGTGAGAAAGAGGGAGACCGTCAACTAGATGGATTGACAAAAGGGCTGCGGCGGTGGGCTTACGCACAGGAGTGACTGTGAGCACGCAGGACCAGACAGCTTTTTGTTCTGTCATATGCTGGGTTGTTATGAGTCAAGCTGACTCAACAGCCCCTAACAACGACCACCGGACACTGAATCATCTCCTACGTGCAAATGTTTTTAAGCCTTGGGGAGACTGTACAGTTGTATCAGATGTCATTTCAGCCCTCTGGATCCTTCCAGTTTATGAGAAGGGCAACCATGTGCAGATATAACTAGAATGCAAAGGAGTGTTGGTAGCAGTGGTGGCGAGGTAAGAAAGGATCCTTGAAGGGGATGGTTTCTGAGCTGGGTCTTAAAATAAGTAGGATTCCACTGGCAGAATAGTAAGGGAAGGGTATTCATGGCAAAGGGAAGCTCTAAAGCTGAGTTAGAGATGGGAAAAGAAAAAGTAGAGTGCATTAGCACTCTGGATAACTTGGCTGCTGGGCCAAAGACTGGAAATTTGAGTCTCCCCAGAGGTGCCTCAGAAGAAAGGCCTGGCAATTTGCTGCTGAAAAACCTGCCATTGAAAACCCTGAGGTGCACAGTTTTGCTGTCTGGCCTGTGAAGCTGCCTTCAGAGGACATCGACTAGAGGACAAGTGGGTTTCCCAGGCAAGTAAATTGGCTTGGCTTCCTGGGAAGGTGAGAGGGCGTGGAGGTGGGGCGTGTGGTTTGAAGAGGAAGGTCAAGGGCACAGGAGCCAAGGTGGAAAGTTGTTTGCCCTGCACAAAGTTAGGATTTGGAGGGATGGCAGGAGAGCAGCTCTTGAAGAGGAGTAACTTGGAACACATAGTCCAGGCGCCCTGATAGAGGATGAGACCCGAGGCTGTCCTGGGAATGGCAGGTGTGGCATGTGCGCTGGAAGCAACTTTGGGGTGGAGCGCCGACCAACACTTTCTATTTGCCAACACAGTCTTCCTCGCCAGCTGTGAGAACTCAGCAGTTTCAAACTGATTGCCATAGTTGTTGCTTTCTGTAGCTGTGCCTCGGCATGAGGCAAATGGGGTCTGATTAAGGGTGCTGGGGGCAGAGCGGTGGTGTGCTAAGAAAGAGCTTTCCCAGGCTGTGGCCTCATTCACCTGTAGCACGACCTTCTCCTGAACCCCACCAGGAAATCACCACGAAATCCCTCACCCCCATAAATTTCAAACAACCACAGTAGCAAGGACAATTTGGGGGAAAACACTAGCGACCTTCCCTTGAACCCCATCAGGAAATCACCACAAAATCCCTTACTCCCATAAGTTAAAGACGACAGTACCAAGGACAATTTGGGGGGGGGGGGAGGACAGTGGCCCTGCAGCTGTCTCTGGGACTTCCCAGTGTGGAGGAGGGCCAGGCACCCCAGTCTTCTGGGTTAGCCACACAATTAGCTACAGACTATCTCACCAGAGCTCCCAAGGAACCCGTTTCTGATTTACTTGAGCACATCAACCTCATCTTGCAGGAGGAGCGATGAGGTGCTGATTGGGGATGGCAGAGAAAAGATGGGGAAAATAGAAAATGCTATTATAACAAACTTGCAGTGACTTCCAGCTACCAGAGCCTCCCCAGGAACCCACCATGGGGTGGATTTACCAGGCATGACTTACTCCTCTGCAGTCAATCTCTAAGCTCTAAACTCCTAATTGATGAAAACCAGATTTTAGGGCCAGCCATGATGGCAAGGAATTCTCACATGTTAATACCCTAGGACTCAGGAGTTTCTGAGGCAGTATGTTTCAAATAGTTCCCCAGTCCTTGCAAGTACAGGAGTGTTTGTCGAACCCTGTATTCTGGAGTCTAAAAATTCAGACCTGATATACCTCAATAAACTGCTGTTTATTGAGCTCTTACTATGTGCCAGGAGCAGTGTTAATTTATGGACCACTGCATTTAAGCTTTGCAGTAACTCTCTCTGGAAGGTACTGTTATTTATAGTCCCATTTAAGAGCTGGGGCAAACAGAGCCTCTGCACTTGCCCAAAACTGTGCAGCCCAAAACTGTGGCCCTCATCCTGCCTTTCTGACTGAACATGCAACATTAAGGAAAGCACTTCGAGTATAAAATGTAAGAGACTCCCCAGTAATCAAGGAAAGTAATATTTTAGTGCAATATTTTTTAAAAAACCAATGCAAATGTTCACAATTTTTAAAAAGATAACAAGATGTCAAAAACAGTGACAAGCTTAAATGAGTGACACTCAATGGGCAGGTTGGATGATGGTGGTCGAGGTTCTTTGTGAGTTTCTCTGTTCTAAGTTGAAGTTCTGATTCCTGGAGCTGGTTTAGAGACTTGGCACAACATTTTCCCTTTTTTTTTTTTTTAAGATTCTTGCAAAAGAGATCTTTCCTGCCTTCTTCCCTTTTAGCTAAAACCAAAACATAGAGAGGAGCAACTGGGCAATAAAGCGTGGAAGAGAGTGGACGTGGGGGCGCATAGGCATGGACTGAATGTCAGCTTGTCTTGCATGGTTCACTCTACAGTTGCTACCCCTGAGGGGACCTTGCAGGTGAGCCAGGGACCTTTCACCAAGAAGTCAACCTCAAAGTCTGAGTCTGCGAGGAGCAAGGCGTTCAACAGGGGGCGCCCTTGTGCTCCGGGTGTGGTGTGGGGGGGCGGGATGGTAGTCAGCAGCTTGGCATCTGAGCAGACTCCCCTAATGCAATATCCGGTCATTCACTGAAATGTAGAATGATGAAAGAGATTTTGCCTGAGCCCGGGAAGCTCTTGATTTGCCCATCTTTTCCCAACGCCCTTGGTTTACCGTTCCCTGGATGACAGAATGCAGCTTGTGGAGAGGGGCAGAGGGGGAACAGCTCCACGCAGGGGCCAAGTCACTGAGAGTTGCTTGGAGAGGAGAAGCAGAAAATGCTCCAATTCATGGCAAATCTCGAGCCAAGCAGGGGTAGAAATCTAACCTGCTTGGGATTTAAAGAGCCCTTCTGTTTAGCAAAGGAGTTCCAGTGGCTCGACTGCTAACCGAAACGTCAACAATTCAACTCCCCCAGCCACTTAGTGAGAGAAAGATGTGGCAGTCCACTGCTGCGGAGACTGGCAGCCTTGGAAACCTCACGGGGCAACTGTGTTCTGTCCCGCGGGGTTGCTAGGAGCTGGAATCCCGTCTATGGCAGTGAGTTTTGGTTTGATCTAGCCAGCAAAGGAGACCTAGTGCTGGAGTGGTTAAGTTCTCACTGCTAAGGGACAGGTCTGCAGTTCGAACCCACAGGCTCCTCTTTAAAAGAAAGATGTGTCCGTCTCCTTCCGCAAACATTATAAGTTTGGAAAGCCCACAGGAGAGAGTTCTGCTCTGCTCCTTTGTGGTCACTATGACTCAGAATGCACTTGATGGTGACAGGTCTGGAGTTGATTTAGCAGCCTAAGTGGGACATTAATGTACTTGTCTGCTAACTGTGGGGTTAGCGATTCGAGTCCATCCAGAAGTGCTCTGAAAATTCAGCCACTGAAAACCTTATGGAACCACTTAATGGCAGCTGTTGTTTTTAGTGTTTTGTTTTAAGCAACAGGGGTCAAGCTGTGGTTATTAAAATCCATCTGATTGTATCCAAAGGGGCTTCTTTAAGCAGAGACCAAATATCATTCAAGGATGAATATTTCAAAATTCGACTCAAGGGTGTAGAAGTTGGTGTCTGAAACCTTGGACTTGCACTCACTTACAGGCTAGCCTGGGACTAGGGCTTCCCTGCGACAGGGAACCAGGAGAACCAGATCAAGCGAGCTAGTCAGGCTGTATCAATCCATTTTAGTAGTGGACCCCTCAAACTCTCAGCCTCTCCTTTCCACATGTATGGGATAGAGGAAATGGTGAAACTTCCTGGAATTTGGACACCATTGAGAAAGATAATCACCAGAAAAGGACATGTTTGGTAGAGCGAAAACGGGGGAAAGGTCGACTGGAAACCAAGGGCCTCAATGAACTAGATTGATACGAGAGCCATAGCAGAGGACCCGGGCAGACTAGTGATCGTGAACGTGACACGGGACTGTGCCATAGCACATAGAAGGTCTCCGTGGGTTTACATCAACAGCAAATAACTCAGATTTCGAACTTAGACCACTCAAAAGAGATAGTTCTGATTTCTCAAAGCACCTTGAACCTCTACTATCATTGCACCCCCCACTGCCAGAGAGGCCTCTCGCGCCCCTTCCTTCTCAGTCTGAGCTCTCTGGGAGGCAAGACCACCTTGTCTTTGCCCTCTCATTTTCATTCTTGCTGCTATATCCTCCCTGGGCCCCAGGAATGTCAGGGATTCAGGCGCAGTCCCCATCACCAGAGAATCCTAGAACTCTGAGTGGCAAAACCCCTGAAGGTCACCTGGTCTGGTGCCTTGGGGTGAGGTAGCTGTACTGTTCACCTTTCCTGGCTGTGGCAGCTAGAGAAGGTGAGGGACCTCCCCAAGGTCACACTGTGTGGAAAGGGACACTCAGCAGCTCCCCGGTCACCTACCTGAACTCTCCTTTTTCCGTCTGCTTGACTTCTTCTCCGGCTCATTGGCAGTGCTCCCAAGAACCCCATAGTCCTCGCATGGACCTCCTAGGGTGTCCATCAGACCTGGGCTGCTGGTCCCCATCTCCCGGGAGCCCCCGGCTGGGCCTGGATTGAGCCTGCGCAGGGCCTCTGAGACAGGGAAGTGCCAGTCAGGGTGCTGTGGGAAGGCGGGGTGCTGCTCAGTGAAGATGCGGTCCTCCCGGGGCAAGCTGTGCGGGGTGGCTGCCAGGCAGGAGGCTGAGAAGTCAGGGTACACTGATGTCGCTGTTGCCGGGAAGTCTGGTTTCTGGTGGAAGGAGAATGGAGTTGGCGGGTAGTGGGGGAGCCCCAAGGTCCCACTGCCTTCAGAGTGGGAGTTTCGAAGGCAGCCCCAGGCAGGGGCCGGGGGAGGGGGGCTCCTCATGCAGCTGTTGGCCACAGGATCCATCTGTGTCTGTGGTTCGTCCCCTCAAAAGTTTGTCCCTTTTATACTTGTCAGATGCAAATTATTGAAAATGAAAAAAAACCCCAATAATAAAAATAATAAGAAAAAGAAGTTCAACAGAAAATTCACCCCAAAAGGGGAACCAAAACAAACAAACAAAAATCCTAACTAAAGTCTCTCCTGAAAGTATGCAGGCAAGTGGCCCACGCGGCACATGAGTGACACCACCTGTGTCAGACTTCAGTCCTTGCTTCCTGGCCCCTGCACACCAGCCTGCCTATTGGGGTCCCTGGGACATGTGTGTGTCGTCAGTGACACTGGACATTTTCACTGGCCCTGCCCAGCCCCACCAGCTGATGAGGAGCTCGTCCTGGTGCCCTGAGGCAGTGTGCCTGCCTAGGGCTGGCCTCTGAGACACACTTTTAAATCCTGCGGTGGGGAGAGAGTGACACATTTCTGAAGTGAAATGTGAGAGAGGAGAGGGAGGGGTTAACTCGCACACACGATCCCCTCCAACCAAAACCCGAGCAGGCAACTATTAATCATCAGAAACCTTATATGCACATCTAATGGGATTTGCAGATGGAGACTTTTAAAGAAACATTGTCTGTATTTTTTTTTAAAGGAGGGAGAGTAGCTCACACACACAACCTCTTTAATGTGCCTCCTGTAACACTATAAAGCTATTTTTATTGCACTGTTAACAAAATTCCCCCAGTCTTGGATTTGGAAAAAGCCTTAAGCCAGATCTCAAATCCATCAAATGCCAAATTCCAGGGAGTGGAGCTGGGGATAAGTGCAAAAGACAAACTTGCTGATTGCATTTGATTTAAAGACCCTTCTGCTGCTGCCTGCAGAAAAGGAAGGGGGATTAAAAGAAATCTTTTTTGCAAGTCTCAGTGGCCCTCTCTGCTCCATGGTATATAAAGAAAGACACACTCCACTAAAAAGTCATTCCTCTTGGTCCAAAGTGACATTCTCACGTTCTTAGTAACTTGAAAAGAAAACAACCTGATCTTCCTTCCGCTCTTTAACCTCCAACTTATGCGCCAATTAGCCACAGTCTTCTCCAGAGGACTTCCCAAGTCCTTTTTCTCCCTGGCAAAGGGAAAGAGTCTTAAAGAAAGTTCTTGATGTTTCCTCGGGCCTCCCCCCACCTGCTCCCTGCCCCTTTCACCTCTACCCACCTGCTTCCCTTTGCTGACCCCAGAGGCTCAAGGCTTCTGTGGAATGGAAGCATGGAAATTGGAATCAGGGGGCTTCTAGTTTATTGTAGTAAAACCACATATAACACAACATTTGCCAATTTGACACTGCTCACGTGTACAGTTTAGGGGCATCAATAACATTAATCATGTCTTGTGACCATAGTTGTTAAATTTTCCGTCACCATAAACAGAAAACTCACTAGTTCTCAAATACTGACTCCCATTTGAGGGCATTCTTATTCTTCTTTGGTGTCTTCTTTGGCCAACAAGTGGCTTGGATCTTCTTGGCTGGTGCCTATCAAAGGGTGTGGAGCAGCCTGGACCAGCAGTCTGCTCCTCCACCAGGCCTTGCCAGTCTCCCCCTCGGACTCTTGGACTTCCTCAGAAGCTGACATTTCAAATGCCCGAGGGTCAGAGTTCCTCTCCCACTAGATATTTCTAGAGCAGTGGGATCAGGACAGAACCAGACACAATGGGACCTTAACAGCAATTTCTCTGCTGGCTTGTCCCAAAGACACCAGGAATTCTCTGGGGGGGAAGCTATGAGTCTTTGCTCTGCCACCTGATGGTTACACCCAGGAGGATATGGGAGATGCTTCAAGCAGGCAGAATAAAGCTGTACGGAGTGTGTGAACTTGGTCCAGAAACAGATACTACTCTCCTGGAAGGGGAAGCTGGAGTGTCATGGAGACAGTAAAGGCCATGGTGTCAAAGACCCAGAAAATATTCATTGTCCAGGGCTTAGCTGTTTCAAACACATCTCCTTTGAACTTTACAACTCTCTTATTCTGGATAAAGAAAGAATTCTCTTTGATGCTTTTACATATGAAGAAACTGAGGTTCAGATCAGTGATGCATGCTGCTCAGAATCACACAGCCAACAACTAGTAGGGACAAGAATTGCCCTCAGGTCTGGCGGTCAGGTCTGCTGCAGTTCAACACAGTGGCGATAAACATAGTCTCTGTGCTTAGAGAGAGCTGAGTTCAAGTCCTGGGCCTGCTACTTCCTAGCTCCCTGTCCTTGGACAAGTCATCTCATTCATGTGAATTCCTATTCCTCATTTGATGATAAAAACTAGTGTTCACCTGCTGCCTTCAGCACTTCACACACTCTGTGACCCCATAAAAGCTCTCAGGCAAGAGCTATTCTAAGAAGAGGAACCTGGAGCACAGAGAGGTTACGTAGCCTGCACAAAGTCACACAGCTGGCACGTAAAGGATCCTGCATGCATACCCAGGTGGCCTGGCCCTGCTGCATCAGAATGTTCACTCTGGAGATACTTGTAAATCATAAATCTGATCCTTTATGTAAAGTAGGCCATTAATATATGCAGCTCTCTCATTTGCCTGTTTAGTTCTTGCTAATTTTGGTGATATTGAAAGTGGGAAGAGGGAAAATTGAGGTTATTCTATGGAATTCATTGCTGTGTAGGCTCTGGAAGGAATCCATGGGAGGTTGGGAGGAAGAGCTGGACTGTCAGCTTCCCTAGGAAAACCTTCCCAGGGGCCTGACAAGCACAGCCCACAGGCTGTAACTGGATTCCTGCTCCAGCCTCCGCATCTGGCTGAAGGACCCTATCCTAGGAGGCCAAGCAGCTTGGCCCTTTGCCCCTAGATGTGGTGGCCTCTGGGTCACAGTGGGGTGGGTGGAAAGGTCAGGAGAGAAAGCAGGGAGGGGGCATAGCAGGGGTACTCTAGACTGAGAAGGCCAGGCCCTGGCACCCCGGCGCCCACACAGCTGCTAGTGTCTGTCAGCCACCCCACAGGGCACGGCCGGGGGCCCTGCTGGCCTCTACATCTTCCTGACAGGCCCCTTTTCTGAGGCCAGGAAAAAACAACAACAGTTCCTCCCTTCACGGCAACCCATTTGTTAGATGAAGGCTGGGGCCATCACCTTTAACCTCCTCAAAGTCAGCGTGCCTTGTCAAGGCCCATAGGCCTGAGAGACAGAGATGGATGAAAATGGCTGTTTGTAGAAGAAAACCTGGTGGCCAGGCGGCCAAGGGGAGCAGAGTTTCCAGGAAGGGAGGAGACACCGGTTTCTGGTTGTTCTTGGGGGTGGCAAGAGGAGGAACAGGAAAAGCGTGAGTTGGGAGGAAGGCCCCCAGGGGCCTGATGAAGGCATTCTGCTTAGCCAATACCTGAGCCATCCCAAGGAACTGCTGGAATTTCCTCAATCGTGCACAACAAACCAGCAAGTCCTTGGCAGTGGACTGGCTTCCGGCTCGGCCACCCCACCCACGTGCACCTAGAGACACGTGGTGTGAGGAGAAACTGGGCCTGGAAGGCAAGACATGGATTCAAGGTGTGACTTTAGGTGAGGCCACCCCTTCCCTGAGCCTCAGTTTTGTCACTGGTCAGGAGCTGTTAACAGCCCCAGCCTCATGGTTTGCTGCGCACACCAACTGGAAACAGAATTTGCCTTCTCTTGTCAGATGCTGAGAAGATGATACAAAGAGGGGAAAGGAAATGCCTATTGTAGGCCCCTAGTACCTTCTTTGGCTGCATCATGTGAAGGCTGAGATTATGAAGTCGTGTGCTGGGTTCAAATCCTAACACTGATATTAATAAATTAGACAGCTTTCAGCAACTCTATCACCTAAGACTCCATCTGTAAAATAGGGATAAGCTTTTTCTTTCTTCCACATTGGCCTGCTGAGAAGAAAGTAAGGTGATCAAGAGAAGCTCTTTTGATAGCCAGGCATATGGCCTAGTGGCAAGAAGTTGTGCTGCAATCTTGAAGGCACATGGTTCAAAGTCACCAGCTGTTCCATTGGAGAAGGATAGACAATCTTCTCCTGTGAGATTAACTGCCTCTGAAAACCCACTGGAGGGTCAGCTGTGGGTCAGTTCTAATTCTATGGTACACAACAACACAACAATATCAAAATGTTAATGATTTCCCTTTTGGTCTCCTGGTTCCTAGAAGGCTCTGGAATGTGTTCATTTGGCTGAGAGAGGACCAGATGAAGTTATCAGTAACTACTCAGTACGAGATCATGTGAGTCAGACAAGATATATGTTACTTAGAAAGGCCTGAGGGAGTGGAGCAAGAGCCTGGTGTTTATTTGACTGTATACATCCTTGGCTTCTCAGAAGACCTTGACACAGCGGGCTGAATCCTGTCTGCCAGCCTGCCCTTCAGGGTCTCAGAAGGCCCAAGGAAGGTGATGCTCAGGACAGAATTGAAGCAATCACGGAACACATTCTTCATGATCAGGACCAGGACATTTGCCCCAGCATCCCCCCAAATGGGATCTTTTCTCTAAATATCACAGAAAATAGAGACAAATTCTTTAGATCAAGATTTCTCTCTCTCTCTCTCTCTCTCTGTGGTGTTTTTTGTGTTGTTGAGTCTGAACCAAATCACAGCTGATCTTCCAGTGGGTTTTCAGAGACTGTAAATCACACAGGAAGGATTGCCCATCTTTCTCTTGTGAAATGTCTGATGGAGATATAGATAGGTATATGTATAGATATAGAAATCAATAGATATAGATGGATATAGATTCTCTCAGGAGGACAATGCAAAGTATTATAATGGAATGTGCAGAGAGCTGAAATTGGAGAATAAAAAGGGAAGAACTCACTCTGCATTTCTCAATCTAATTAGAGACAAATTTACGTCTCATGTTATAATGCTGAACAATGCTATAGGCAGTATATTGAATGACTCAGAAAGCATCTAAAGACCGTGAGGGAATACACAGAAATCACACTACCAGAAAGAACTCATTGACACTGAAAAATTTCAGGAGATACCATATGAAGGAGGAAGTGGAAGCTGCATTGAAGGCA